CGGAAGTGCCACAACGGCGCTGGGCGTGGCGGACGTGGTCGTCTTGACGGACGGCGGCAACGTGTTCGTCTTGACGGACGGCGGCATCGTCACCGGGCCAGCGGCTGGCGCTCCGACAGTCATGGGCACCGGCGTCGGCGGCCCCCATTTCGATGTGGGCGCTTCGTACGCGATTACTTCGCCGACCGGGTTTGTGAGCGCATACGTGGCGGCGAGCATCGTCATCTTGGCGTCCAAGAACGAGTCGTGGATCGGCGGCATCTCGATCTTGAGCAGCTGCTGCGTGAGGTCGCGAAGGCCCGGCGTACTCCTCAGCTCGGGCACGTCGATGCGCTTGTAGATGAGCGCCGTGTCAATGACGTTGGTGTGACTGATTTGCATACTCGCCAAATCGCCGTCGACACTGTGGCCAACGAGAATCGTGTCGGGGCCCATGTACTTGAGCACTTCTTTACGCGCGCGGGCCACGTCAATCTTGGAGCTGTAAATGAGCTCGCCCGTGAGGCCATGGACGTTGGTCTTGTAGTCAATGATGATGCGGCCCACCGGCGGCTGGTGCACGATGAGGTCGACCAGAATCACGTCCGGATCCTCGCCGTCGATGAGCGTCACGCGCACCAAGGCCTTCGAGTCGCGATCGTCTCTCCTCGAGCTTATCGTCACGCACATTTCGCAATCGAGCGCGACGACGCGCTTGTACTGCGCCTTGGAGCTCTTCTTCATGGTCGCGGTCGAGACCCAGCTCTTCGGCCGGCCCTCGAAGCGCTCGGCGAAGCGCGGGTCGGCCTTGCTGAGGGCCACGAGGTCTTCATACGTGCGCGAGATCTTGGTCTTCTTCGCCGTCGACTCGGGCTCGTCCGAGCGCGTGCGCTTCGAGTTCGTCTCGGGCGATGACATGGCGATGCTGCAGATTGCGCTATGGGTTGGCGGCCAGTGCTTTGGCAATCCTGCGTTCCATTGGCTCTGTACCGCCAATCAAACCGCGTCCGAGGGCATTTAATTCGACTCGTAATATTATACATACATTTAAAACAATGCGCGTATTTGTATGTGTAAAACAATAATAATATAGAAGCGAGAAAATGTACGTGGCAGCACGTGGAGCCAGGACGCTCGACGCTGTGTACGGCAGAGGACGACGCTTAGGACTGACGCATCGTGGTCGGGTAGGTCGCCTAGAGCAATATACAGTACCAGATTGTAGAGCTCGCAAGCTGGCGACCTTGAGGCTTGCGTTCGGAAGACGCTCGGTCAGGATCACGGCCGATCCCACGACACCAAGTTTTTCGTGGGTCGCTTGCCCGAGTCGCTGGCCATGAAGGCCGCGACGCTCGGCCGGAAGCATCAACTCCGTGTCGCCCGGCGCTAAAAAACACGCAGCTACTAGTGACGGCGAAGGAGAGATGCGTCCGCGCAAATGTTTGGTGATGGAAAACACACAACACTCGTTCAAATAAAGGCAAAGCAGGCAGCGTTCGCATCGACTCGAGGTAGCAGCGCTGAGTTGCGACGTTGGCGCCCGGTATGGACAGCGCTGCAAAACGCAGATAGCTTCTGGCATCGTCTTTCGGCAACGTAGCGCCGACGCGATTGACGTCGCCCGGTGATCGTGACGCGGTAAAAGTTCCCTTCGGCGATTCTATCTATCCAATCGAATATCTCTCGGTGTGCTGGACAAACAACAGACGCCAAAACGATAGAGTCGCATGCGTATGCCGCCAAGAATCATGCGACAGCGATCAAGTTGTTACTCCCGCGTACGTAAGAACTACCAATGTATCGAGATGGTGATCGAAATTCAATGTTCACGACGCAACGCGCTCGATTATGGACCGATTTCGTTAATGTACAGACCTTAATTCCGACCGACCGCCCAAACCACGACAACGACCAACAGACGCCACAATTCAAGGATACCACGACCCCCCTGCCACGACACCAGACGACCCCACCGGCACTCAGCGACCGAGACACCGCGACGCCATCGACCACGCTTTGAACGACTGCCACCCATAGACAGCCGAAACATGACAAACTAGACGCTACCACTACCACTGCGACCGAGACACTGCAACACCAGACGACCGAGACACCACGGCACCAGACGACCGAGACACCACGACAACAGACGACCGAGAAACCACGGCACCAGACGACCGAGACACCACGACACCAGACGATCTAGAAACCTCGGCACCAGACGACCGAGAAACGACGACACAAGACGACCGAAAAACCACAGGAGAAACCACGACACCAGACGACCGAGAGACACCACGGCACCAGACGACCGAGACACCACGACACCAGACGATCTAGAAACGACGGCACCGGACGACCGAGAAACGACGGCACCGGACGACCGAGAAACGACGCGACGACAACACCAAACAACCGATACCACGGCACCAGACGACCGAGACACCGCGACACCAGACGACCGAGAAATTATGACACCATAGACCACGAGTTGAACGACCGCAACCCATGAGCTACCAACATACGACACGCCAGACGACACCAGACAAGATACCACGACACCAAGCAACACCACCTCGACCGGACTTACAATATAGCCAGCACACTTGACTTTGACCGAATGCCATCGACCAAGAGGCCACATCTTGAACGACCGAGATACCGTGACACAAGACGACCCGCCAGACGACCGAGATACCACGACAAGAAACAACCGAGTAACCACACACGTTGACGAGTTCAGACTGCAAACCTCACCCAGACCGGGCCTGTGAAACTTCGATACGCCAAAGCTTCGACACCGAGACTGCACAGCTTGGACCACTGAGCCATGGCCACCGACACCGCCGCCGCCTGGATAATAGAGCCTTCGCCACCGAGCCTTGCACACCAGGACACTGAGCCTTAAGCGCCTTGACCGCCGAGCCTTGGACCGTCGAACCTTGGACAACTTGATTGCCGCCGCCTGAACCTTCATACCGACCCTTGACGACTGGGACAACCGAGCCTTGAGCAACATTACACCGCCGCCGCATATACCGCCGAGCCTTGAGCACCTGGACTACCGCCGCCTGGACCGCCGTCTTGGACACCGCGCCTTGAGCACCATGACCGCCGCCGCCTGAACCTTCGATTCGAGCGTTGAACACTGGGACAACCGGGCCGTGAGCACCTTGAAAGCCGAGTCTTGGGCACCCTGACCACCGAGCCTTGGCCACCTGGATTGCCGAGCTTTAAGCGCAAAAACGCCGCCACCTGGACTACCGGGACTACCGAGCCTTGAGCGCCAGAGTCACCACCACGCGAAGAACGAGAAAATATCGAGACACAACTGCCTGGACACTGTGACAACGAAGCCAGCACTGCGACCAGCTGCACCGCTTGCCGTCTCGCCGAGACGCATACGCCGCGAACGTATCGTCGATGAACGCGATCAAGAAGAACCGTTTTGGAGGCTGCAGTTGGGCCCCGCCCGAGATACCAACGACGTAGCACAGAGTCGGCGGCGAGGCGTTTACGACAAGCACGAAAGGTACAACCACCGACAGCCGACACACAACGAGACGCTGCGTCAGACAGCAAACGGCGTCTGCAGTCATTTAGAGGACGACACTCGACCACCACGCGCGCAATTCCTCCGGCACCAAGTTGATTGATAGCGCGTGGGCTATGGGAACGAAGCGGACGACCAAGAGCACCCCGAGCGACCGAGTGGGCGTGCAAGCGGTTTTCGAGCGAAAACGACGAGCTCACGCGCAACCGGCGATGGGCGAGTACAATGACCGACTACTTGGCGTTCGGTGGCCAACGCGACGAAAGACGCTGAAGACGCTTGCCGTTGCGCGGGCGGGTAATGACACAATATCGGGTAATGACCATCTTTGAAGTTACGTAAAGCGTAGTAGTGGTACGGTCTACTGGAGCTCTTGGGAGCAAATTGCAAAGTGAGGTGTGGCGAGAGGACACGGGTGGCAGCGATTGGCCAAAACACCCTCCGAACGCACCGACATTCTCCACCATTGGGCAAGAATCCGCACCTTGTAGCCAATCCACGACGCCAACGAGAGCCTAACGACACGTGATTGGATGACGTGAAGAAGCGACATGCGGGTAAGAAACGCGACAAGCACTTCCACTCGTTCAGGGCGCGGATTGGTGAACCAGAATCGAGAATCCGGCCGTCGCATCCGGATGCGCCGAACTGCAAGGTAGCCATTTTTGGCGCCATTTTCCACGTGCTGGTCCGTGCGGTCGTTGTATTGAGCCGCTCAATACAACGACCGCCATCGACGGCGCGGCCAATTCCGTGGTACGATGTGCTCTTGGTAATTGAAATTATCTATCATTTTCACTGTAAAATGATTCGGTACGACACGAAATGCTATGAGAGAAAATCCACCAAGTTGTCAGCACGTTGGGATTGTTCAGATTTCATCTGCCACCTAGCACTTACGGGCCTCACAGTACAACGCTGCGGACCCTGCTTCGTTCTTTGATTCGCTTTTTATCAAGTCTTGACATGTTCATCTAGATGGAAAAATGGGGTTGACGGGATGGCCATACTAGAATCAAGTACAAAACGAGTTGCATACGTGGTCTCCGTGGTCTACTCCAACACGCGCATTGCATAGTACGTCGTTCCATTATTACAATATAATGTTTCAACCTACCTCCCACGTGTACAACGACCATTACTGTATTGTCGTGTGACAATTAGCACGCCGGGTGCAACGAGGTCGTCATCCACCCCAGCACGACCTCGTCGTCGTAGAGTTTGTCGACCGTGAACGACGCACTCGACCGCGTCACGTTGAGCCGACGCGAGTACGCTTGGCCCGGCGGCCACACGCTGTCTTCCACGTTTTGCTCGGCAATGTCAATATGACTCGAGTGCACGTCGACGACGACGGCGACGTGGCCCCACGGTGCGTAGAAGCCAACGTTCTTGTAGATGAGGAGGGACCCGCGCACGGGCGGCGTCGCCGATCCCTGGGCGTGCGCAGTGAACGGCACCGAGACGTTGCGCCCGACGTCCGTGATGGTCGAGAGGTTGAAAATGTCGACCGCGCCGTCGACCGACGCGAGAAGGAGCTCGTGGTTGAGGAAGAGGTACCGGCGCGCGAGCTCGACGCACTGCCAGCGGAGGCCCGTATACGTGCCGTTGGTCTCGTCCGTGCCTGGCGGGTAGTAGTTGGATTTGTCTTCGGTCGGGTGGTCGCACGAGTAGACGCTCGTGTTGCCGTGCGTGACCCCGAGGAGCGTGCCAAAGGGCGCCGGCACCGCCACGACGGCGCCGAGAATCAAGGCGATCAGAGCTGCTTTGAACATGTTTCAATTGCGTGGCGAAATCGGCAATGGCGATCCGAGAATCCGAGACGACGGACGCATCCCGCTGCTCCCTGCTGATCCCCAGCTCAGGTCACGACGTCTGAGAACGTTCGTTCAACGAGTGATTGGATTTCGCTGCCATGGACTCGATGCGTCCCTTACTCGCTGACAGAATCATCATGGACGACTGGGGCCCGTACCTGGCATCGCGTTTGTATCGATGTCTACCAACGACGTCGTGGCTCGAGTCGTGCTGCATGTAGCGTCGTCGCCAATGGCCAGGCGCACCATTGGCGTGCTTCCTGCGAGCGCTTCCTGCAGTACAGCAGTGGGAAGGGTGCATGGCACCAACCAGTGCGTCGATCCCGCACGCTCAGCGGCGACGACGGAGGGCCGAGGACCAACAGCGCGATATGGCCGGCCATGGTCACTGCTCATATGGTCGTTGGCGAGCCGCTCACCCATGGACATGGCAGCTGCATGAGCTGCGCCCTGGTCGCCATGGTCTGCGCAGTCCCATGGCCATCGTTGTCGGCGCCCACGACGGTGTCGGCTGGATCGCATCGACGAGAGGCCATATGGACGACGAGGATTAAAATATTTCATTTTGCATACGATATGCAAGATTGCTATTAAATCTGTCTAAAAAATCAGATCTTGGGATTCGTTCGAAGGAGCATGAGCAGCCGGTCGAGCCCGGTGCTGCAGCAGCGGTCGAGCGTCGTGGACATGGCGGCGCTGCCGATGGCCAAGCTCTTTGGCGAGCGCGAGGTCATGGCCGAGATCCGCTGCGACTTTGCGTTCGCGTTCGCGGGCGCGTCGACGAGCAAGCC